AGTCTCCAGAACCCCTTGCTTTCTTCTCAGAAGCTCAGGAAATCCCCTCTTCTGCTGGGTGCTTCACAAGGAGGTGGAGGATGTGGAGGATCCCCATGGCCTTGGGCCTGGCCTCTGGACCCCCTGGGCCCCCACAACCTCCAGGACCTCCAGAGCTCTCCTCTATCTCCATCCCTACCTCGGGTTTCATCTTCCCTGGGTTCTATTTCCTGAGGCCATCCAGGCCGGAAGTTGAGGGGCAGGAAGAAGAGGCCACTGTGGGACTGGGCTCTGACACCAGGGGGCGTGCTATGGGAAGGGAGCAGGAGGCAGGGCCATTATCTATACCAGTGGTCTGCAAACTCATTAGTCAACAGAGCCAAATATCAAGAAATCTCTTTTGAGAGGCAAATTTTTTAAACTTAAACTTTTTCTAACACCACTTCTTCAAAATAGACTTGCCCAGGCCACACTCAAGGGGCCAAAGAGCTGCATGTGGCTCTCGAACAGCAGTTTGCTCACCACAGATCTATACTAATAAAAGGGTAATATGCTAATTAGACCCAACATCTTCTAGATGTCCTTCAGGACAAAGCCACGGTGGTGAGGGCTGAGGAAGAGGTGGTTATGGATGGTCAGGCTGGCAGGGGAGGGCAGTTAGGGGTGATCAGGCCAGCAGGAAGAGAAAATTAGAGGCAGTCAGGCAGGCAGGGGAGCAGTTAGGAGCAAAGGGCCTGCAGGCAAAGATGGTTAAGGGTGATCAGGCAGACAGGCAGGTGAGTGGTTAGGAGCCAGTGGTGTTGCGAGAGATGTCCAATTGCTGGTTTAGGCCCCATCCCACTGCCAGTTGGACATCCCCCAAGGGGTCCCAGATTGGAGAGGGTGCAGGCTGGGCTGAGGGAACACTCCCCTCCCCACCCCATGCACAAATATATAATTTATAACGTGTGTGTGTGTGTGTGGGGGGAATGTGAGGTTATTTCCTAGAAGGCAAAAGTGCCCCAAACCCCAAAAGATATGTGATACTGGAGGGAGATAGAATTGAATTGTGATTGATAGAACCCACACATCGCTACATGGATTCTCTCAGGTAATTCCGTTCATTTACTCATATTTAGTTAGAAGGGGGTTCTCCTTTCATTAATCTAGAGAAAGTTTCTCCTGAATAAGAGCAATGCCATTCCAGCCACAAGAAAGAGGCTGGGACTTGGTGAATTGCTCTGCCTGCCTATTTATTTGTATAGACTTACCTAAAGTCCCAGTTTGAGAATTGACATACAACATTTCTTTGTGCTTAATGTTTTGTGGGTTGATTAATTTTGTATAAACTTTCTAATTTATTTATTAAGAAACCTAGACTTCTAGTTGGGGTTGAACATGGCTTTTGATATGTTCTATTCTTGAAACCTTTATAAAAATGTTCAATGGGGGAGATAAGAAATCAACCAAAGGACTCGTATGCATGCATATAAGCATAACCAATGGACGAAAAACTCTGGGGAGGGAGGGCATGTATGGGAGTGGGGGTGGGGGGATTGGTAAGGTATGTACACATATAATACTTTAATTAAAAAATGAGAAAAAAATAATAAAAAATACAACTACAAAAAATGTTTAACAACTTATCAATGTTTTTCAAATTGTAAAAGTGTTTTTAAATTCTGAAGACCCCCCCACCCTACAGTTTCTCTTCAGAGACCTCCCAGGGGCTGTCTTGGGTTGGGAGGCATGCAGTATAAGATGATCTCACAGGCAGAATGAAACTCCCACCCCCTTACCCACCTTTTCTCTGTTTACAGCAGATCTGGTGGTTTACTTGTGGGTTACCACATGTTTTTATGTGTTACAATAGGTTCTGTAATTGGAAGTAGTCATTCTTTTTCCATGATGACATTTTTGAGCACTGACATACCTCTAAATTAGACAAGTGTGTGTGTGTAAAGCAATGGAAAGAAAATACTTTTTTTGTTAAGGATCAGATTTTAAATGTGACATTTATACTCCACTTATCCTGTTCAACATCTGATATTAACTCTGGCTCTTACTGCTTAGAAAAGTCCTATAAGCTTTGGCATGCCCTGAGATCACAACTGGTTGGAAAATCATAAGTTCTATTTTTTGGCATTAAGATAAATGTTTCTATTAAGGTTTAGGGATGACAAGGAAGAGAGCAAGAGGGGCATGAGCAATTTTAGCTCCTAAAGGGTCTATTTAACAAGTAGGTTTGTTGTATTTAATTGACTTCTGATAGTCATTCAACATGATAGATCTTCTCTTAGCTAAGATCCTGACACAGCCCTAGCTGGTTCGGCTCAATGGATAGAGCGTCAGCCTGTGGACTGAAGGGTCCAAGGTTTGATTCTGGTCAAAGGTACGTGCCCGGATTTCTGGCTTGTGTGTGTGTGTGTGTGTGTGTGTGTGTGTGTGTGTGTGTGTCTGTGTGTGTTAACTCCTCCCCCCCCCCCCCCCCCCCAAAAAAAAAAGAACCTGACACAGACAAACCCACTTGTAAGGTGGGGGAGGGAAGGACTTGTGTGTGAGCACCTGGAACAAAAGGACTTTTTTTTTTTTTTTTTTTTTTCCCCCCATTTAAAAACCTTCCTGGAGTTGATTTTCATAAGTGTACATTTCCTCTTCGTAATCCTAGTCATTAATCACCAAGGAGTGTATAATGAACACCTGCATGGATCATAGATTCCACAATCCAAACTGAAAACTCAAATGTTGGGTTGTCTCCTGCTCTATAATCCACCCCCAGGGTCTGTTCCTGACTTGTTTGGCATCTCTGTTTTTGGCAGAACTGGAATCAGGGAATAGGATTTCAACATAGTCTTACTCCTCTCCTCACCTTTTCTTGACTCCAGAGTCTCTCAACCTCCACACTGTAAACATTTTGGGCTGAATAATTCAGTGGGGGCCTGGGGTGTCCTGTGCATTGTTGAGTAGCATCCCAGATCTCTACCCACCAGATGCCAGTAACACCCCTTTCCCAGGCAGACAACCAAAAATCTCTCCAGGAATTGACAAATGTTTCCTTGCACGAATGGTGGGTGGAAGTGGGAAGGAAGCAAGACCTTGGGGAACCATTGCTCTTTACTCCATGAGGACCCCGATGCTGAGAATCCTACCAGAACTGCCCGGCCCTCACCAGATTTGGTTCTGAAAGAAGCTTTAGACCCAGTAATTCACCAAGTCAATGTGCTCAACCCTGGCTGCATGGGAATCACCCCAGACATTACAAATGACCACCCGGGCATATTTTTAAAAAGCTCCTCAGAAGATCTCAGTTTATAGTCAGGAACAGGCAATCTCTGAACTAAGTGTACTTAGCAGTCTTAATACTTATAAACAAAAAACACAATTTTATTTCAAGTAGGAAATACCCAAGTAGTTTCAGAGAAGAAGGAAAACTCCATATGTCAGTAGATTGTAGAATGCGGGCCACCGGAGACAGTTCACGTTAGCTTTCTGTTGTTCTGTTATTATCGCAGAGCAATTGGAAAACTGGATCCCCCTGAGAATTCTGGGCTTTTAAGTTTGACTGAAGGTGCATCACTTGATGTAGAGCAATTTCTCTGGTGTTTGAAACTGACAGAGACTCTTTTGACCAAAGGACATCAATTAGAGGAGTTTAAAGGGAAGAGGAAATTTCCTGAATTTTGGATTGGCAGGGAGGGGAGATCAAGATTGGGCAATACCAATGGTGGCCTAGGAAAGGAGGCCTTCTGATGACGCTTTTCAGCAGATGACAAATAGGATCAAATCGCTCCCTCTTTCCTTTGAAACCTTCAGAGCAGAGCGAATAAAACCAGACAACACAGGCCTTTTATCTTAGGATCCAGGAGAATTAGATCCAGGAGGTGTACATATTCTGGCAGCTGCAGGATACATGGGATGTTTTGATTTTCCACCTGACCCAGCTGCATTCCACTTGGCTTCCCTGAGATTTTGTTTCCATATCTGAAAAGGGGCAGCAGGGCAGTTACCTCAGACCGTCCCTATGAGAATTAAATTAGGTCATGTGTGTGAAAGCGCTTTGTATAATCTAAAGCATAATAGGTATGCTATTTCCAGGGACCTTCACCCTGAAGATTATACTAGACCCCGAGCCAATGGCTTTCCATTTTGGCTTCTAGGGCATGCATAGCAGAGTGGACGAGTGCAGTCATTGACTTAACTTGTCAAATGTCTGTCCTCACATGGGCAATTAGGAAGATACATTTGAGCTAAAAATACAGAGTGATGTATTTTTCATGTCTGAGGTTATGATTGTGTTTTAGGTTATTACATACTAAAGACCAGGAAATTAATTGGTGCCCTCTAAAAATGCAAAGAGCTAGAGATTAATCTGATAAATGGTTTCCATTAAAATAATTCCATTTGGTTTCCCAAATTTATCTTGTCTCCTGAGGTTTCTGAATGCCACAATGTCCTTCTCCTATGCTTTCCAGCTGCATTCTACTGCTTCCTACATCCCTGGGTTTGGAGACTATCGATACTTACAAATAATAGCGGCACGGCAAAACTAGAGCATTAACCCTTTAGTTCCCTAATTCATGGATATGTTAACTGAAACCACTGTTTCGTTTTTCAGTTGAGTTTTGGTTGATATTGATATTCAGAATGTAACCTTTATGGGTTTGAAAATAAGGTTTTTAGTGATGCTGCTTCATACAGATAAGGCAATGGAAACCATCCAAATAAGTCCAAGGTCAAAGTTTCAAGTTATTAGTCCTCGCTCATCAATAAAAATTCACAGGAAAGAATGAAATAAACAGGGTGGAAAGAAGGCTGTTTCAGGAGACAATCCATACTTGTCTGAGGGCAGGGGGAACTGGTAGAGAAGAGGTCAGTGTTTTCAAAACTTCACTCAGATGCTTTTCCAATCAGGTGTCCCAAATGGCTAGCACAGAACAGCGGGCAGGTCCTCCCAGTCTTATGAAAACATAGGCCACTGGATGCCATCTTTTCTGAAGAGAACGTCAGCTCGGCCAGTTGTATACCAGGGACTGAGCACGCCACTACATGACCACACTAAGTTCGTGTTTCTCTAGTTTGTCCTCCGGTGCTTCTGCCTCAAAGTCTGGGTTCGGGCTTGGGTGGTGGATTTCAATGAGAAGAATATAGACGAGGCCTCCAATGGCAGCACCAACCATAGGGGCCACAACAGGAATCCACCAGAAGTTATTTCCAACTCTGCAATCAAACAAGGAATTAGTGATACATCACGTGGCCTTCCTCCTTGTATCACTGCTAGTTATTCACTAACCAGCCAGTCTTTCTCATGCTCATGGCTCCCTTATCAATCAGAAAGAGCTAAGTATAAGGGCACTCACCACAGCTTAGCAACCTGGATTCAATACACCCGACTGCAGGTGATCCACCATTGTCCTATTGGTACTTATGAGAAAATATGTCCCATTTTTTATTTTCCTTTCAGAAAACATGGTCCTACAAGGTGGTCAAAATTGAGGGCATGTAACAAAAGTTCAGGTTGATTATTCAGGAGTTTTCCTTGTATTGACACAATGAGTCCTGAGGATTATGAATGGGAAGATGTGGAGATTCCTGGACATCATGGGTGATGTGAGGGCAACCACAAAATAATCAGGAATGTTTATCAATGAAAACAATTTTAAAAATCAGAGGTGGAATACGAATTATGCACCAACTATAATTTACTTCAGTGCTTATTTTTTGAGGTAACTAAGCTTAAAGTTATTTTCTGATCAGGCTATTGTGCTCTGATTCCTTCTTCCCTTCAGAAAGCCTCAATATCAATGTTATGTTAAGGGTATAATTCTGTGAGAAAGCAGCTGTCTTTGTGAATTGTCACCATCTTTTTTGGAGACAGAAAAATCCATGTAAGTAACTCTTGAGTGCTCAGAAGCAAACAAAACCCCACAATATACGGTCTTCAGCTATACATTTGAGAAAAAACTTTTTTTAAAAGCAGGGAAATAGAAAAAAAAAAAAAAAGAATTCAGGACACTGTGGAGGAGAAAGGGAAAACAGGAGGAGCACATGAGTGCACAGGAGGGTTTCATAGCATTCCATTAAGGGAAGGACTCGGGGCTGTGCTTCTTATCAGTGTGCTTAATAACTACACATATTTGCTTTGTATCAGATTTTGATAAGAAAGGATAATGAATAAAATGAGCACAAACAAGAGGCCTGTTCTAGGATTCACCAGACCTAGTTCTAATATCAGGATAGAAGGACTTCGGGCAAGTCCCCCTTGGTCCCTTCCACTTGGATCAGACAAATACTCTTCCATCATAACTCTTAAATCATCAATGCAGGCTCCTGAGAACAGCACTGAGACTGAGCACAATGGCCACAAGGTGTCGCTGTTACTGCATGAGAGAGAGGGCGCGAAACTGCCCTCCCAAAGCGCCTTTCCCAAGACCCCAAATCCAGATGGAAGTTTCTATGGGAAGCACAGGGCTTTAAAGGACTAGGAGGTTCTTTATTTCCTTTCTTGCATCACTATTTTATGGCGAATCTGTCATTCCATATATTGGGGTCCAAGATATCTGCCAGGAAGCATGTACTCCTTCCCCTGGATGGACCCTCCTCCTTCTATCAGAGAGGAGCACCTTGTGCAGGGGTCACATATCATAAATGGAGGAGCTTGCACGTGGTTCTTTGCCGGGTCAAGTCTTACATGTACACAGGGTCATTTGCATGCTGTGATTTTGGGAGGAAGCCAGAAATATCTATGTTAATTGCTTAAGGTACCATCATCAGGAATTCATCCCTTTGGGTAAACTTTTTTTAAAAAAAATAATACTACCCTGAGATCCTTCATCAAATCATTAGTGTCTTAATGTGAATTCATGGAGATAACTCCGATGGGAAACATCCTAACATTTACTGGGAAAAGGAAGAGTCAGCAAAGGTCTGGTGACTCTTGCTCTTGTCAGGCCTCCTGCTGCCCCACTTCCAGTCAGCCTCACTGCTAGCCATACAGGGGCAAGTGAGGGTCTGAGGAGAAGGCATTCTTGGCTTTATCTGAGGGTGTGGATCCAAGCTAGGGTATCTACTGAGATGCTGACCTTGGCTACAGAAACTTGAAAGGGTGGGACTCCAGGAACACTTTGGAGACCTGCTGTCTCTTAAAGGTTTTCTTGGGAACTTTTTGGTTGAGGATAACCAGCAAGCCTGGTTTTTTCCTAACTGATTGCTGCTCCCTCTAAAGGAGAGGTCCTTTTTAATCCATTTTATATAATGATGTCAGATTAATTTTGCTAAATTGAAGCTCTAAACATACCAAACATCTGCCCTGACTCCTCTGCTGCTCCCTATAACCTACAGAATAGGGAGCAACCAAACCCCTAGATTTCCTTTTTAGGAGTCTAGGGCCTCTGTGGTCTGTCAATAATTTGTCTTTTCCAACCTTCTTCATGCACCCTTCCAGGCAGACTGGATTGCTTGTTAGTGTAACATTCTGTACTTCTTCATGAACCAAAGTAAGTTCCTTTCCTATACAGAGAAGTGGTGAATGGATGGAATGAGTTACTATGGCTTTATGGGGGGGAGTGGGAAGGAAGTAATGGGCAGGTTTTGTCCTGGGAGTTAGGTACTGACTGTTGACATACTTCCTCAGCACACTATGAGGTTCACAGCACAGGGTCTTGCAAAATTTCCTGTGCACAGGCTCTCTTTTATCTCTGTTCTGTTAGGGTTTTTAAGACCCAAACCAGCTCTTTCTTCAGTGATGCCTTTCCCAACTTCCCCAGTCCCTGCTCTGAACTTTGTTTTAGGGGTTGCCAGAGTCCTTATTACGTTGCTCAAGGCTAGTGACTAAGCAAATTTTGAAATTTCCTTGCCTAGCTCAATGACACAGCCTGAGATAGAGTTCAGTGAAGAATTGTTGAATGAAATAGTGAATGAAGCATAGCTAGCATGATTCCCTAGAAAGAGCCCTGTAGTAGTATTGAAAGATATAGAATCTAGATCATCTTTGTCACAAAGTAGATCTGTAGACAAGTTATACAATCAAAATTGCACATAAAACCATACACCAATTTTTTTGGACAGGACTATCTCTATGAAACCTTTCTCTCTCTCTCTCTCTCTCTCTCTCTCTCTCTCTCTCTCTCTCTCTCTGAGTGTGAGTGTGTGTGTGTGTGTGTGTGTGTGTGTCTACCCGCCTGCCTCTCACACACACCACACACATACACAGCCCCACCATGTCACAAATCACTAGTGAGACATTCCACACTCATGGTCAGGGTATGCACCTGACCTTCACCTTCCCGTTTGTACTCACCTGGATTCCAACCCAAAGCACAGCCCTCCCTGATAAAGCACTGCATGAATCTTTCTTTCCCCTTCACCCCACCATTGTTGCTTACCTGAAGACATCAAACCCCCATCCTGCCAAAGCAGTGAAAAGCCTGGGACTCAGGTCTCGAGCTGGATTCATGGCACAGCCACAGTTCAATCCCATAGAGGAAGAAAGGACAATAATCAGGAGGCCGATGGCAATGGGCTCTAGGCCTTTGGGGACTCCCCAGTTTTTGGAGTCAAAGAGGGCAAAGACAACCAGGAGGAGGAACATGGTGGACATTACCTGGGGAAAGAAAAAATGTCCAGGAAGGTTAGCGTATAATCTGTTTACCCACCTTAAAATCCAGCCCCTCTTGTTAAGAACAACCTAGTAATAACTATAATAACATACACTTGGTGAGCACACTGTGCCACTCTTCTTTTTTTGTTTGTTTTAATGTATTTTTATTGATTTTTTACAGAGAGGAAGGGAAAGAGACAGAGAGCTAGAAACGTCGATGAGAGAGAAACACCGACCAGCTGCCTCTTGCACACCCCCTATCGGGGATGTGCCCGCAACCAAGGTACATGCCCTTGACCGGAATCGAACCTGGGACCTTTCAGTCCGCAGGCTGACGCTCTACCACTGAGCCAAACCAGTTTGGGCTCACTCTTCTTTTTTTTTAATTGTGTGTATGAAGTGATATGTTGAAGGGTGTTTTCTTTGTTTTTGTTTTAATTTTAGAGAGAGAGGAAGGGAGAGGGATAGACAGGCAGAATCATCGATTGACTGACTCCCTGCACACTCCCGACTGGGGATCAAGCTGGCAACCCAGGCATGTGCCCTGACTTGGAATCAACCATAATCTCTTGGTTTGTAGGTCCATGCCACTGAGCAACACAGACAGGGTCAGACACTCTCCTTGCTGTAATTATTTTTTTCTATTTTCTGTGTCCAGCCTGGCTAGAGAGCAGGTCCAATTGCTGAGTAGAGGCAGCTGGGGATTGAGAAATAAAAGAAAGAGACAAGACACAGAGATAAAAAGAAAAGCTAGGGCCTGGTGGACCGCTGACCTTTTCTGCTAGAGAGACAGTGACCCAGAGCCAATGCAGCCTATTTATTTTATACCCCCAAATACCAGGAAATTTCACCTAAAGGTCAAGACAAAAGAGATTATTTGCATTCTTGAGTAGGCCCTGAGCATTTCCAGTGCTAGGCTGGATTTAGATATCAAAAGCCACTTCCCCACACCACGTGATGAAATGAAGGTTAAGCTGACAACATGCTTGCCCTTTTGGCAAGGCATGTTCCCAGAGCAGGGTGTTCAGCTGACAATAATTAAAGAATGCCCATGTGCCTTCCCAGGGGCCCTTTACTCCTTGCCATAGCAATTTCAAATGTGCTGGTAATATTCTCCTTTACAGATTAGTTACCTGCCCAAGGTTGCAAAATTAATGGCAATCAGTGGACTAGAGAGTTAGGCTCCAGAGACTAACTTTAATATATTTTCCTGCTAAACCACAGGCTGGGAAAATGAACAAAGAGGCTCATTCAAATTGGCAAGAAGAATAATGTGAGATATCAGTAAGAAAATGAGCAAAGGAAATGAATAGAAAATTCATTAAAGAGCCGAAACTGGTTTGGCTCAGCGGTAGAGCGTCGGTCTGTGGACTGAAAGGTCCCAGGTTCGATTCCAGTCATGGGTATGTACGTTGGTTGCGGGCACATCCCAGGTAGGGGGTGTACAAGAGGCAGCTGGTTGGCATTTCTAGCTCTCTATCTCTCTCCCTTCCTCTCTGTAAAAAATCAATAAAAATGTATTTTTTTTAAAAAGAAAATTCATTAAAGAAAAGGAGAATTAAGAAACAAATGGGAAAAACAGATTTGTAATGAAAAGAAATGCAAACAATACCAAATGTTAGGGAAGTGATGCCAATTCTCCCAGGCTTTTCCAATAGAACTGAACATGTACCACACATTTAAAAAGAAACTCAGCAGTAATTTAGCAACATGCATTTAAGCCCCACAAAATTATTTATTCAATTTGACCCATTGGATAGTGGAGAACCATACCATGAAAACAATCTAAAATATGGAAAAATCATAAGGTTTCTCAGGGATCCTACTTTTCATGCAGTACAAGTCCAATGTATCTTATAATGAAGAAGATGGCATTGGAGTGCAGAGCTGTGGGAGGAGCTTTAGAAGTTCCTCATGTGAATTCAGGCCCTTTCCAGAAAGACAACTTTCTCAATCCTGGGCTTGCCCTGAAAAGGCTGATGTCTTAGTTCCTTGAGATTCGGACCCACGGCCCCCTTCCTACACTCTCTGTTCTGAGAATGTGACCAAGTGAAGCCTTCAGCCCCTATGACTTTCCCACAGAGACAGCCTCTCTCCACTGAGCCCTCTAGCAATGCTCTCCTCCTTGTCCCCCCAGGAGAGTGAACTGGCCCCAGGCCATTTCAGGGCCAGCTTCTTTCAAGATTACTAATTGCTTAGCTCTAAATATTGTTCAAGCATATTGTATAATCTAATTAGTGGACAGTCATTCTTTTACTAATAACTATTTACTGGCACATACTGAACCAGGTATAGTTCCATGCTGTTCCTTATTTGAGGAGTACAGGGCCTGATTCTCTGACATGTAACAGATCACTCTTGTGAGTGATAATGTCAGGGATAGAGAGCAAGACTGGCATACTTCAATGTGAGGTTGGGGGACTGAGAAGAGATAAATCAAAGAACTTATATATGTAGCCCATGGACACGGGCAATAAGGTAGGGCAATAAGGTAGTGAAGACCTGGGGGTGGGGGGTGGGTAGGGGCTGGGAAGAAGGCAGAATGTCTTTTCTTGTGGTCTCTCCATTTAGATTGTTTGCACAAAAGAGACACAACCATGTAGGAACCCCCATTTGCCCCTACAGAGGCTGAAATGTTCAGTTATCCACTATCTTCTGGAATTCAAGTAGTATGATCAAATGTATATATTAAAGGAGGAGTAGAAAACTCTTTTAATGGTATCAACTTTTGACAAAGGCAAAAATCTGTCATGAAGGCTTGGGTGATACCCAGTAACCTCTGGCTCTGGAAACACAGCCTCTCCTTATTGACAGGTGCATAACAGTCCCCTGCAGTTCCCTTACTAAATCCTGTCTCTTCACCAAAGTTAGCTCTCCATTGATTGAATTGATACTTACTTGGTCTGCAAATGCATTTGCCAAAGACAGATACGAAGCTGGGTACGTTGCAAAAATGGGTGCTGTTGCATTTTCTCCCTCAATGAGCAGTTTTCCACCAGCAAAGGACATAATTCCATCTATGGAAGATAGAGTTTCAGCCCATTAGCATTCTCTGGGAAGGGGTGAGGGAGGTCTATGCCAGGTGTTAACCAACCACGGTCATTCAAGTTTAGTTTGGCAGATCCATACTGTTTGCTTTTCTTCACTTTATATGGCCAGAGAAGCCGTAGGATGGCAGGTTAAGGTCACAGAGCCCTGGCTGCCCTCAATGGTTCACTCGAAATTTGAGCCAAATCCTTAGCCAGTGGATCCTGGAAACAATCATCTGTAGGGGGAATTGTTGGAATTTTTTATATTGGAACTTGAACCTACTCTAGGCAGAATTCATAATTCTAATAGCAGTCCACAATTTGAGGATGTCATGGAATAGTGAAGTTGCCCTTGGAGCAAGGGATATAGGTGTCCCCAAAGGGCCAGTCCGACCCCAGCTCTCTCCTACCACAGTTCATTGCCCTCAGTTTTTCAGAGAAAATCAAGACCAGTACAATCAGATTATTTATTTAAGTTATGTAGCTACTTATTTTGCACATGTTAACATTGTAGTCTTGGTTGGGCCTAAATATAAGCTTTCTTTAAGTTCTGCTCTCTCTTTTAAGTTGTGACCATTCTCACTGAGAGGCTTCATGAATTTTCTCTAACAATAATGTTGGTCCCATTATTTAGAACTTAGAGCTTTTCAAATTGCCTGTCAATTGTAGTGCTTCCTATTATTCTTATTGCACCTCTTCCAAGTAATTCTGACATCCAAATTATGCCCAGTTCTCCCGAACCTCTGGACTGAGGGGTCTTACTCACCATAGTAAATACCAAAGAGGATTGCAGACCCTACGAAGGCTCCCAGGAACTGGGCTCCCACATAAAAAGGAAATTTGAACCATTTCATCCGTCCAAAGAGACACATTGCAAAAGACACAGCAGGGTTGATGTGGCCACCTACAGGGAAGATGATGTTAGAGGGCAGATCAGGGAGAATTCTTATGAATAAAATAATTCTTATCTAGAGACCTCAGTCCTCCGGGTAGGGATCTGTATTTGAGGATACAAAGTGGGGTGTGTGTGTGTGTGTGTGTGTGTGTGTGTGTGTGTGTGTGTGTGAGAGAGAGAGAGAGAGAGAGAGAGAGAGAGAGAGAGAGAGAGAGAGAGAGAGAGAGAAAGCATGCTTGAGTAGAAAGGGAGGATAATAATCTTTATGGCATCATTAGACACTGTTTAGGATGTTTAGCTTTTTTTACATAGAAAGAAAGTTTTATTCAAGTGGCTCATATCTATCTATCTATCTATCTATCTATCTATCTATCTACTTATCTATCTAGTGGATTTTTCTCTATTTATAAAGCAATAACCTCAAAGAGTTTGATGTGAATTGTTAACTTCAATATCTTTTTAAAAAGTCAATAGACCTGCCGGGACCGGTTTGGCTCAATGGATAGAGCAACGGCTTGGGGACTGAAGGGCCCCGGGTTCGATTCCGGTCAAGGGCATGTACCTTGGTTGCGGGCATATCCCCAGTAGGGGGTGTGCAAGAGGCAACTGATCAATGACTCTCTCTCATTGATGTTTCAAACTCTCTATCTCTCTCCCTTCCACTCTGTACAAAAATCAATAAAATATATTTAAAAAAAAAAAAAAAAAAGTCAATAGACCTATTACTGAAAATCAAGCATTCTCTCACTAATGGAAAGATGTGGAAGGCTTGTCAACCTTGAAGCTCTGAAAGGTCAGAGCCAACCACTCCCTATCTAATTGAGACAATGGTAACAGAGGCAACTTCCTCATCAAATAATCATGTAAATCCTTACTGATATGATAATCCACCTATTACCTGCCTAAGGGCTATGGGTGTATCCCATAGTCTCGATGAAAGGGATAGCAAGGCCAGAGCCTAGCTGTAGTCCTCCCACCAAAGGTGGGCTCCCCCCCCCCCCCGCCCCCCCCCCCCCCGTTTCCCAAATTAATTTTTTTCTAGTCTCTTCACACACACGTAGCAGTGCTCATGTCGTGGCTAGAGAAATCAGCCTCCTTGATTCTCCTCACCACAAGGTCAGACAGAGTTTGCTCTGGTAAGTCACTAATATTCCCAGCTGACTGTGCTAGCAACAACTTTCATTGAACACTTGCCAGATGCTATCACACTGATAATCACAGGGATAGGACACGCACTTGATCTTCACTTCAGAAGAACCTGGTGAGATGGGTGCTGCTCCAGTTCACTGGTGAGGAAACTGAAGCACAGAACTAAAGTAACTTTCCTAAGGCTACATGGTTAAAAGTGGGAGAACTAGAATTCAAGTCCAGGTTTCTCTGAACTGTGTTCTATGTCCTGTCACTTCCAGACCCTTTTTTAAAAATAGATTTTTATTGACTTCAGAGAAGGAGGGGGAGAAAGAGATAGAAACATCAATGATGAGAGAGAATCATTGATGGCTGCCTCCTGCATGCTCCCCAACTAGGATTGAGCCCGAAACCTGGGTCTGTGCCCTAACCAGGAATTGAACCGAGACCTCCTGGTTCATAGGTAGATGCTCAACCACTGAGCAACACTGGCCAGGCACTTCCAGACCTTCTGCCCAAGTTCAGTGGGCAGGGGAAAATAACAATCACATACGTGTATGGGCTCCCAACAGGAGGGGGGATTAGAATGCCTGTCAATGTGACCATATGAAAATGTGGATTTTTGGGCTACAGAAATAGTTGTAAACAAGAGTGCTGAGCCGAAACCGGTTTGGCTCAGTGGATAGAGCGTCGGCCTGCAGACCGAAAGGTCCTGGGTTTGATTCCGGTCAAGGGCATATACCATGGTTGTGGGTACATCCCCAGTAGAGGGTGTGCAAGAGATAGCTGATGGATGATTCTCTCTCATCGATGTTTCTAACTCTTTATCCCTCTCTCTTCCTCTCTGTAAAAAATCAATAAAATGTATTTTTTTTAAATTAGAAAACAAAAACAAAAAACTAGAGTGATGACAATACTGGTTATGATGATGCTTCATATGTAACCCTCCACAGCACCTATGGGTAAGTTTGTTTTTGGAAGCACTTCCTGTGCAGGTGTAAAGACTCATGCTTTTCCTGAGTCTTTACACCAATGTGGGTTTGTAGCGGAGAGGGGTTCTAATTTCTGGCTAAACCCCAGGGTCCTTCCTATACCTGCCCCTGACACGCAGGGGCTAACATGAGTAAAATTGCCAATATGCCAAAGCCCAGATGATTTCCTGAAGCCTTGCAAACATGTCACCTTCTTGTTTTACTTTTAAATAAAAGAGATTTATGATGCTGGAGACCAGCAAGAGTCCATGCACCAGGGACCAGGATTCAGAGCAGGGAGCACATAGGATAGTGGACAGTTCCTAAGTCCCCCAAATAAAATACCACCCCCCTTCGATGGGTTCACTAGTGGGAAAGATGTTTGTTTAGCAAGCTCCTCTCCCAAAATAAAACTTCCCACAGTAGGTTTTTGTGTTTTAGTCTCTTATAAGCACCCTGAAGCTGGAACTGTTATTCACCTGGGACTTCATGTGCTGCAAGGCACTTAGTAGGTGTTCAAAATATGAAAGTTGAGCTCTGGCAAGGTTGCTCAGTAGGTTGGAGCATTGCCCCTGGTGGTGGGTTCCATGGACACAGATAATAGGGTGGTGAAGGCCTTGGGCAGGGGAGGTGGGCTAGAGGGAATCAATGCGGGGGGGAGGGGAGAATGGGGACATACGTAATACTTTCAACAATAATGACTTAAAAAAAAAAGGTGGTAGGTTTGATTCCTAGTCAGGACATATACCCAGGTTCATTCCTTGGTTGGGGTGCATACAGAAAGGGAACCAATCGGTTTGTCTTTCACACCAATATTTCTCTCCCCCTCCTCTCTCTCAAATAAATAAATAAGTAAATAAATAAATAAATAAATAAAATCATATCCTCAGGTAAGGATATCTAAAAGTTGAAGAAATAAACAGAGGCCTTTATCCAGATAGCTCGATGCCAAGGATGTACAGAGAGGGAAAGCTGGGGATAGAGAAGGTGTGTCTGGGAGGGTGCTTTGCAGAGCAACGAGGAAAATGTCTCCTTGCAGAGATGAGTGGTCACTCTTGCTTACCCAAGGGACAGGGCAGAGCAGTGTTCTGGAAAGAACAGCAGTGCCAGAGTCAGGGAGTGCCTCGCTCTGGCCCTGCCAAGGTTGTCGTGATGATCAGATTGTTCACACAAAGAGCCCCACAGTCGGAGGCCTTGAGGCCTGAGATAAAAGTCTTAGTGAGCTGGCTGAGCTCTCTTGGGGCTCTGTTCTAGACAAATCCCCTCCTCCCCACCACCAACAGACAATTCTAGGATGAAGATAGCCTTCACATGTTATTTGTCATTAAGCAAAGCTATTTTGATTTTTCGGTGAATTTCTATGACTTATACTACATGAAAACAATCACTGTAGCCTGGTGCAGGCCAGTGGCGTAACACTGGGTGGAAGACTTAGCGAGGATGTCATGCGCTCTGATTGGCTGGTTGGGTTCCCAGACCACTGGCATGTTCACAATGAAAGGCAGGTGTGGTAACTTCTTTGAGTCAGGTAATGTTTTATATGTCAAAACCAGATGTCAGCTCACCTTACCAGTCTGAAACCACAAAATGAGATCTCATTGATGGTTATTTTGTTGTTTTTGGAATCCTCAAGGAAGGCCTCCCAGGTGCCTACAAACCATTACGTTTGCTGCAGCCCCAAGAGAAAGTCACTTCCCACTCACAATCTTCCTCCCCTATTCCTGCAGCTGCTGGAGCCAATACTGAGTCTGCATGGATGCCATTGGTGGGCCAGTGTGTTGTCCGAACAGTGCTGAGTTCCCAAACAGAGAGGGGGAGATGAGCTCCTTATCAGCCAGGCTCAAAAAGCTCTACTTGTATTTTGGGATCTCACAGTCTCTCATAAACAATTTGGCCAGCTCTGATTGACCCTCATCCAGAAGCAACTCTATTAAAAACAGTTCCAGGAGTTCTGCCCCTCACCACTCTGAGCACAAGGCCTTAATCCCAGTCCAGGGGCCAGATCCATACCAACAACCTTTACTCCCTCTTCCCCTTCCTGCTGTTCCTCCCTTTACTCCTCTGGGACGGCCCAGATTGCCCAAGTGCATCAGTGAATGCAGTCATGGACGGTGGTGGTGGCAAAAGGTGTTAGTTACACAGACAGGGTGTGGGACAAAGCCATCTTAACTAAATATTTGGCAACGTTCAATTCAGGGTGCCATGCAAGCAAAATACTCCAAAACCACAGGTCCACCAGAAAACAAACAATAAAAAAAACTAGCTGAGAATATGCCCGCAGTCATATCACATGCTTAGCGGAAACCGCGGGTGTGAATGGTGTGGGAGCCTGTAAGGTGGCAGCGGAGCATCCTGCGTGCTTGTTTTAATTCAGGAGCATGTCCTGTGTTGGGGCTGAGGCCTGTGCTGGAATTAAGCCTCGGCACTTTCAAGATGGACCACCAGTTACTCCTGAGACTCTGGTCCACAGTACAGCGCTAGGATCACAGCAGAGGCTTGGCTGGAGTTTGAACAGAAACACTGCTCATGCCAAACAAATGACATGACAGGCATCTGTCACCCGGACTGCCCCAGGATCAGCATCGACTGCGAGATGGAAAGGGTGGCAGTGAGCAGATGACAGTTCCAGGTGCCCAGCCAGGGAGGCTCCCAGGGAGGCAAGGCCATCATTCTTCAGTGCTGCAATGAAGTGCCCTGCCTGTAACATCCTTCCCTTCGTAGGCTGTTGGGAATGTTGTGCAATAACATGAGTTTTCCTGTCATGGAGGCCTGGGTCAACTCTTTGTTCTTTCCCTTTACCAGCTGTGAGACTTCTGGCAGTTCACGTAACTTCTCAGAGCCCCAGTGCTCTCTGTGGAAGGGAAACACTAATGCCTGCCTCTGAGTCCTGCTGGAGAGGGGAGAGAGGTAAGCATACCAGCAGCCAGCACAGTGCCCAGCATGCATGATTACCTTTTCCCCTTACCACCAACAATCTCTTCCTAGTGCTCTGAGCACCCAGACCAGCTGCTGAAAGATCCCAAGAGCCTTTGGAACCAGATTGTTCTCACAGTCCATTCCTACATTCCCAGGCTGCTAGCCCGCCACTCGAGGCAGAATTAGACCAAGGCCTCTGGGCCAGACCTGCACTTCCATGAAAGCCCAGCCAGTGACCCAGACTCTGAGTGCTGCGGATGAAGGGGCAGATAGTGGGCCTCTGTGGAGAGGCATCTTCACTGGGCTATTCACCCGGCATCCGGGCAATAGTTTCCAGGGAAGAGCAAGGAAAAGACAGGTGAAAAGTATGATGTAGTGGCCAGATAGGGGACTCAGTCTGTCTGTCTCTTGCGAAAAGCTGCCTGTGCACACATCACTTGCCATTTGCTGGAAATTTTCGTTTTATCATCTTTGAAAATAGAACCAAATACACATTCTTGCAGGATGCTGAGCTCTAAATACATGAAGGTATAGAAAGCACCCAGCACTGTGCTAGCACATGGAAATGGTTGAGATAATGACAGCTGTTATTATTTCTCTTACTTACCGGAGACACCCCCAGTCACATAAATGGCCATGGTGACCGCCATTGCAAATCCAACATTAACAGTGACGATTCCTCCAAAACGTCCTCGACTGAGGATGGCTTGGGCAACACAGCCACATCCGAGGACCTGGAATGAGAGGAAACTCAACAAGTGAGTGGAGATGGCCACTGTCAAAAACTGTGACAAAGTAACAAGAAGTGCTTTTTAAGCAAATTCCTGGATTGGGATGCCACAGGCTTTGTGAAAATCGAATTACAATGCTCCGGCTGTGCACAGATCCCTACATTTATGTATCAGGTAACTTCACACAATGACCCAGGTTTCTGGCTTTTAAAATTACTTTTATTATTATTATTTGTTTTTATTTTAAATCAAACTTTTAATTTAAATAATAAGGTAATATGCAAATCGACCTAACAACCAAACAGCAGAACAACCATCTGGATGACCTTCCAGATGACCATCCTATGGCATGCACTGGTGCCAGGCCAGCCAAGGGGAATGCAATGCAATTGGTGGGGGGCTCTGCCACCACCCCATGATTGCCTCACAGAGGGAGGCCCAGGCCACTGGCTAGTGATGCTGTGGTGGGTGTGCGAGGCTGGCCAGCAGTCGCATATCATACCTGTTGCTTGCAGAGGGAGGCAACCAATGGCGGGGGGAGAGAGGGCACAAGCCAGGCAGCACCACACAGATGGCAAGCAGTGGCCATGGGGCCAGCTGCCGGCAGTTGGGGGAAGGAAAGCCCAGATAGGTCCTAATGGCCAGCCAGGCCTAGGGACCCTACCGGAGGAGTCCTGGATTGTGAGAGGGCACAGGCCAGGCTGAGGGACACCCACTCTCCCAGGTGCATGAATTTTGTGCACTGGGCCTCTAGTTATTAGATAATTGTAGATTCACATGAGGTTGTAAGAAATAAAACAAAAAGACCCCATATGACTTTTATCCATAGATTCCTTTTAATCAACCAGATCTACCAACCCATAAGGAAAGAATATCCTGGAGCAAAGTAGCAGTTGGCTGCCCCGTTAAATAGAGCTGTGCTCTCCCAATTGGCTCTCTCCACTTTGCCCACTTAGTTCTCCTTCTTGGCCCCTATAGGCACCTGAGTTTGTGATCCCCAGTATAGGCCAGGTCTGTCTCACAATCATCTGCGCATCTAACAGGCTGAAATTTCATCTAAGTTATGTACAGGCTATTAGGAAGAGTCTAGTGTGCTGGAAAACCAGGGAAAACTACCGGGCAATTGAAATGGCAATCAGCCTTCCTCATCCCCATGTCTTTTCTTCCTGATTAGGCTATAGTTTGCTGGGAGCAGAGACGGCCCAACTTACTGCTTCCGCATGGCACCAAGCACATTGCTGTAAGCCAGGGGTGGAGAACATCTGGCCCATGGGCTGTATAAGGCCCACAAAATCATTTAGTCTGGCCCTGCCAAGGCACTAGGGGTGAGTTAAGTATAGCAGGCTAATTTTTAAAAAATATATATTTTATTGATTTTTTACAGAGAGGAAGGGAGAGAGGTAGAGAGCTAGAAACATCGATGAGAGAGATATGTTAGGTATATTATTAAACCTAAAAACAAGATACAAAGCAGTATTAAAGCACGCTGCCGAACTGTATTAAGAATACATTATATATATTTATTTTTATATGCATCGGCTGTCTCCATGAATACACATGCATCAGGAAATGAGATGGCTGAGACAGGTGTTGGGAAAAAACTGTTCATTGCATATCCTTTTCCTTTTTTTTTTTTTTTTTTTTACCATGTGTCTTAGTCCATTTGTGGTGCTCTAACAAGATACCACAGACTGGATAGCTAATAAATAATAGAAACTTATTTCTCACAGTTTTGGAAGCTGAAACTTTCAGATTAGGGCCAGTATGATCAGGTGAGGTCCTCATGCAGGTTGCAGACTTCTGTGTCCTCACATGCTGGAAGGGCAAACCAGCTCTCTGGGATGTCTTTTTATAAGGGCACTAATCCCATGCCCGAGGGCTCAGCCTTCAGAGCCCCATTATCTCCCAAAGGCCTTACTTCCTAATACCGTTACTTTGGGCATTAGATTTTCAATAAGTGAAGTTGAGATGGAGAGGGGAAGCACCAGCATTGAGACCATAGCACCATGTGTTTTCTGCTATTTAAAAAAATATGTGTCAAAAATAAATAAAGTGGCTGAAACCCGTTTGGCTCAGTGGATAGAGCGTCGCCTACAGATTGAAAGGTCCCAGATTCAATTCCGGTCAAGGGCATGTACCTTGGTTGTGGGCACATCCCCAGTAGGGGGCGTGCAAGAGACAGCTGATCGATGTTTCTCTCTCATCGATGTTTCTAACTCTCTATCCCTCTCTCTTCCTCTCTGTTAAAAAAAAAAAAAATCAATAAAATATATTTTTAAAAATTTTAAATAAATGAATGAATAAATAAAGTGTCCATATATTTATTGAATAGCTAATCAAAACCATTTAATCATGGCCCATTAAGGAAACATTTAATAAGAAATATATATATATATATATATATATATATATATATATTTCTATGATAAAATCAGCCATGAAAAGAATGAAATCTTGCCATTTGGAACAATATTGATGAAACTTGAGAACATTATGGTAAGTGAGACAATATCTATTGTGTCTCTTCACAAAATGAGAAGGGAAATTGGAAGCTGAACTATGAGAGGTTGCGCGCCTCTGTACCACAGTTTTTCAGCACTTATGCCCTGAATGCTCCTTTCTATTTCAGTATAGTTGTAGAGCTTCCACTCAGCCAGTTTTCTCATGGTTCTGGGTGATAGACGTTCTGTCTTTTAGTTGTAGTTTTGAAATTGTAGTGCATGGCAGTTTAGATGTTTACCTATGCTGCCATCTTGGATCTCCTCCAGCTTAGGCTTCTTTATATCCCATGCTTAAACAATATTTTGTAAGAGATATTGAAATATCTAAATACAGGCATGGAAAAAACCCAGCATAAATGCCTTTTCAAGAGAAAAAGTTAGTTTGTGGTAGAATGTGAAAAGTGGGAGGTGTGATTTCTAAGAAATGTAAGTTGGGACTGCTGGGAAATTCCCAACTGAGCCATGACCTCTATAACAAGACAATTTCTGGACACATTGTAAAACTTAATGTGATGAAGTGATGATCATGATTCAAAATGCTGGGGATAGGGAGAGAGAATGATAAGCCCACAGATTTTCTTTCATCTGACCTTTCTCAAATCTCTTGCACATCTATTACTTCCTTTAAGGTATAGACCAAGATGTTCCTAGAACAGTACACAGCACAAAACACACTTAATAAGTATTTTTCCATTGAGTATGTAAAATCTGAGCCCTGCCCAGCCAGTGTGGTTTAGTGGTTGAATGTCAACCCATGAACCAGAAGGCCACAGTTCAATTTCTGGTCAGGGAACACCTAGGTCACAGACTTGAATCCCAATAGGGGCATGCAGGAGGCAGCCAGTCAGTGATTCTCTCTCATCCTTGATGTTTCTATCTCTCTACTCCTCTCCATTACTCTCTCTCTAAAAATTGATTAAAAACATATTTAAAAAAAACAAGAAATGAATTTGCCTGAAGACAAATAAAGATATTTTTGAATCCAATTTTAACATTTGTGTTCAAAGTTCCATGTTCCTTCACTTATACTGAACTTCCCTCACCTGTATCTGAGCCAAATAAGTGGTTTGTCCAGATTTAATAGTCTGTCTTTCAAAATACCAAATTGTCAGAAAATAAGATCCCCACCCACATCTACAAGTAACTCTAATTGAGACTTGGCTATTTCTTCCTTTCTCTCCTCCATGTGTACATTTGAAAATTCTAAGTGCCATGAATAGTATTTGGTACCAGCAAGGATGCAAAAATATTTTTTAAAAACAAGCAAACAAACAAACAAAAAAACCACAGCCCTCACTGGTTTTGGATAGAGCTCTATAAATGGGTAGAGTATCGGCCAGTGGATTAAAGAGTCCTGGGTTCAATTTCAGTCAATGGCACATGCCCAGCTTGTGGGCTTGATCCCCAGTTGAGGGCATGCAGGAGGCAGACAATAGATGATTCTCATAATTGATGTTTCTCTCTCTCTCTCTCTCCCTCTCCCTTTCTCTCTGAAATCAATAAAAATATATAAAAACCGCCGAGACCGGTTTGGCTCAATGGATAGAGCGTCGGCTTGGGGACCGAAGGGACCCGGGTTCGATTCTGGTCAAGGGCATGTACCTTGGTTGCGGGCATATCTCCAGTAGGGGGTGTGCAAGAGGCAGCTGATCGATGACTTTCTCTCGTCGATGTTTCTGGCTCTCTATCTCTCTCCCTTCCTCTCTGTACAAAATCAATAAAATATATTTAAAAAAAATATATATATATATATATAAACCAAACAAAGCGTGCATGCACGCGCGCACACGCGCACATACACACACACACACACACACACACACACACACACACGTGCTCTGAAAACTTGTAGACCAATAAAAGAGATAAGATGGCTGAGAATTGGTAAGAATCATAAGAAAAGTATAGATGAAGTGTAGTACTGTCATTTGATGTTGTAAGCTTTTTATTAATGAATGGTTTAAATTTTTATGCCTGGGAAAAGTGTGCATAAAGCTATAGTTTTGTAATTCAGCTTTACTGAGAAGATAGTTATTTCAACATTTAAATCTCCCCAAATTCGTGAATCATTTTATCAATGCTTGAAATTAGTGAATCACCTGACATAATACTATTAAATCTGAGCTATACAATATATGCACGTGTGTGTACAACAGCTAGGCCCTACTGAGAAACTTGATTAAGATTACGAGATCAAGATTTCTGTTGGTAGTGACTGAAATAAAAATGGTTTTCTTATTATTGTCTCAACAAATTTGGGTGGTAGGAGGGGGTGGGACGGGCGAGGAGATCACAGTCTTGCATACAGGAATTAGATTTCCAATATCCAGGCCTCTTACAAACCAATGGTATTGAACAGAAGCCCTGGGCCCTCACAATCTCCCCATTGCCTTTTCCTAGTGATTATTTTGTTTTTGTAGAATGTGGTTAAGGACACTGTAGAACAATCACAGGCTGGTGGTCCATGGCTGAAAATAGCCTGTGAGTGGACTGTCTCATAGA